ACCAATCAGGAGGCGTGTCTTAAGTCGCCAATGGTCTGTGGTTTGGACCAATCACCGTGCGCGTCTTCTGTTACTGAGCCCGCAGGAGACGCCGCATGGTTGTTTGGGCTTATCTGTTATCTCGACCTGCCTGTTCACTGTGTTTTTATTTCGACGTTATAGGAATTTTGTTTTACCACGGCTGATAAATACTATATCGTTACACGAATGGATCTAACTGTGCGTGATGTGTTCGAAAGCGTGCGTGAGGACGGGTTTCCCGACTTGTACTTGTCTTTGGTCTTTGTGTCGTATAAGTGTAACATAATCAACTGTAAATCTGCCAAAGAGTATAAAGCTCATATCACTTAACTCTTCTACAACCTTTGCCGTGCCGTCTAACAACAGTAAAAATACTAAAAGTTATCAAATAACATGATTATTTCCTCGCCTTCTTACTCTCCGTTCTGACATCATGAATGCAGACTTGTATAATACTATCATTATCATTAAGAATTAACTGTTAACTAATTACTTCATTGAAAGCAACTGCCAGAACTTCTCGCACTTCTGGTAACAGCTGTTCACCATTACATGTTTCAGCCGATGTCCTCGTTCTTCTCAAACAGCACTTTAATGGTCAAGTCGTTAGCACTGAGAATTTTCCTACTGTGTGCATGACTGTCCGCATGAACCGCATGTGAATGTGAAAATGACATACAAGTCTCTCTTCTCAATGCGTGTACATAAAGCATCATGTATATTTCATAGGGAATTAACTCACAATTACTGTTAAATGCACCTTGTACATATATATACTTAGGCATTTGCACAAAGATAATACCTGACGCTTGATTGTTGATCGTAATGCATGACAAAAGGTCTAAGAAAGTAGGCGGAAATAAATGGATTTACTGCGTTACGTGTTCAATTGCTCTCTTTTCTGTCTTCTTTTCATGCGTAGAATAAAAGGAAAATGTTTGCACTATTCGTTGTCTGTGTTGCTGTGAATAATACAAAATTTATCGATTTATGTTTTGTATCTTTTGTGTATGATTCCACAAACGTTTTCTTTCTCTCTTGGTTTCCTTTCTTCGGCACTATTTTCGTATCATAAGGTCTTGAAAAAAGATAATGACATGTAGATGATATTAGTGTTTGTGTACTTCAGCACCTGCAATTTCTTTCTTTCGTAATTCGCACGACGTTTCATCTTCTGCGCACCCGTGTTTGTTTTGAATGTCAACACCACGGAATACTCCATCAGTCTTTGATCGTATCGCTCTGTTCCTCATCTTCCGCAGTAATAATGTAGTTCTCACCTTTTACTCACCTTTTACTCATGATTAACGCGGCCAGAGACTGTGTACTCCTTACATCATTTTTATAATAATCCAAAGAGAATTTCTCGTTTTCAATTAATCATCAATAATGTTCGGGTAGCTTTGGCCGTGGAGTAAAGGGACGGAGAGTCATCTCTCTTTTTCGTCTTGGAACGATTGGCGGGGAAATCGTAAGTAGAGGCATCGTCAGACTCAAAGTATAATCGAACAGAAAAATAAAATATAAGAAATCGAATCCCGTTCGGTTCGGAGGTGGGGATGAGAAGGGAAGGGGAGGCTGCGGGGGTGAGGTAGTGATGGTTCCAACCGGTGAATAATGTCGTCAGTAATTGTTTATTTTACAGATTATGTGACATAATCTTCCCCTTTTCTTTTTACCGTAGAACCTATATTTCTCGAAAATATAATAAACATACACCTTAACGTCCTCAACAACAAAATTTTCCAACGCCAGATAACGATATACAGAATGCCTCCGCATTGTGATACGCCGTTCCCGCCGTTGCCATAATACGACAGCGGGACCAACAGCTCCAGATGCCACGGCAGAAGTTCGCTGGATCCCGCTGATTAGCATAATACATGTCTGTGGAGCGGGAAAATGCCGAGCGAGTTTTGATCTCTCCTTCAGGATTCGTATATCACTCAAACCAATTCGAGATATCTGTACTTATAATAAAATATCAATTATTATCGATATTTATTTCATTCGAGAAAAGATGAAACAGTCTGATCCTATGCTGTTGTAGGTGACGTGCCTCTATATTTTTCCTTTGAAATTTAAGACCATGGAACAAAGTACTTAATCCTTACAAATGATAGGAGAGATACTGCGCCCCTCTTGAGATAATTCACACGCGTCTGAACAAACTTCTCTCTCATGTGTGTTGTTCTTGTCAACTTACAAGTGTTGTATGTGATATTTCTTTTTACAGGAAAAAAAAGATTTTTACGTGGTACTCCGGATGTATTTTGTTTTCGCATACTGATGCATTTGTAATATGTTTAATGTTCATGAAATTTTGCTTATGTTACTGTAGATGCATTCATGAGAATGTATAATTAAGCCTATAGATTGTAATTTTAGTTTTTTACGTCTTATTGTAAAAAAAAAAAATGTCAGTATATCAGAGAATATGGTTTATAATTACAGATTGATTAAATTATTTGTGATTTGA